TCACTACACAGAGACCCATAGACTAATCACTACACAGAGACCCATAGACTCATCACTACACAGAGACCCATAGACTCATCACTACACAGAGACCCATAGACTCATTACTACACAGATACCCTTAGACGCATTACTACACAGAGACCCATAGACTCATCACTACACAGAGACCCATAGACTCATTACTACACAGAGACCCATAGGCTCATTAATGCACAGAGACCCATAGACCCATCACACAAAGACCCATAGACACATCACTACACAGAGACCCATAGACCCATCACACAAAGACCCATAGACACATCACTACACAGAGACCCATAGACTCATCCCTACACAGAGACCCATAGACTCATTACTACACAGAGACCCATAGACTCATTACTACACAGAGACCCATAGACTCACCACTACACGGAGACCCATAGACTCATCACTACACAGAGACCCATATACGCATCACCACACAGAAACCAATATACTCACCACTGCACAGAGACCCATAGACCCACCACTACACAGAGACCCATATACTCACCACTACACGGAGACCCATAGACTCATCACTACACAGAGACCCATAGACTCATCACTATACAGAGACCCATAGACTCACCGCTACACAGAGACCCATACACTCATCACTACACAGAGACCCATAAACTCACTACTACACAGAGACCCATAGATTCATCACACAGAGACCCATAGACTCGTCACTACACAGAGACCCATAGACTCATCACTACACAGAGACCCATAGACTCATTACTACACAGAGACTCAAAGACTCACCACTACACAGAGACCCATAGACTCAACACTACACAGAGACCCATAGACTCATCACTACACAGAGACCCATAGACTAATCACTACACAGAGACCCATAGACGCATCACTACACAGAGACCCATAGACTAATCACTACACAGAGACCCATAGACGCATCACTACACAGAGACCCATAGACTCATCACTACACAGAGACCCATAGACTCATTACTACATAGAGACCCATAGACTCACCACTACACATAGACCCTAGACTCACCACTACACAGAGACCCGTAGACTCACCACTACACAGAGACCCATAGACTCACCACTACACAGAGACCCATAGACTCACCACTACACAGAGACCCATAGACTCACCACTACACAGAGACCCATAGACTCACCACTACACAGAGACCCATAAACTCCTCACTACAAAGACCAATCTGGTGTAGGCCAAACAGCTTCAAAGACGATGCCTATAACATCATTATTATTTTGATTTAAAGCTTTCGTGACTGCAGTAATTCATATCCTTAGTTCTTTCGGTAAAGTCACGTTGAAGGGAAACAACAAAATAATAAAATACATATAAAACAATAAAAATTCTCACGACGTTTCGACCATAACACTAAAAAAAAAATTCGTCTTCCCCCTCCTCTTTTCAGGATATAGATGGACTAGTCCTAAATAAACTGCCAAATCGCTGTGCGTGGCGCTAACGTTTTTTTTATAAATAAATTAATGCACCGTTTAAAAATAAATTTATGCAAACCAACACACCTGAAGACGACCGTTTGTGTTATGGTCGAAACGTCGTGAGAATTTTTATTGGTTTATATATTTTATTATTTTATTGTTTCCCTTCAACGTGACTTTACCGAAAGAACTAAGAATATCATTATAATTATTATTGATTTGAAGCTTTCGTGACTGCATGAATCCATACTCTTTGGTTCTTTCGGCAAAGTCACGTAGGTAGGAAAATATTTAATTCATTTTATACCTACGTAACTTTACCGATAGGACCGAAGATTATTGCATTATCATTGTTGCCAGAGCCACCGTGTGTTTGAATGTTCACCACAAGTGTAGAGATGGTAGCTGCTCGCTTTTCCGTAACCTGCGGTGCCGCTATGTATCAGGGGGCGATGCAGCGTTACCTCGCTGCGACAGACGGCCAGGGGGGTCATATAAGGTGAAGAGGATCCAAACCAACGGATTGGGAAGGACCAATCAGGAGGTTCCACGTGGGAGCATGGGATTGGACAGAGCCAGCCACAAACCGGTAATAAAAGGACGAGCGCTGGGAGCGCGTGCTCAGTCCTCCCCCCACACGAAGACCGAAAGCCCCGGGCTGAAGATAGTCAGGACCCTGGTCCCAGCCTTCCAGCCCCTTCTAAGGGCTAAGGCTCAGCGTGAACAGTGGTCGGGGTCCCACCTAGCCAGCGGTGGGTCAGCATAGGTCCTGGATAGTCAGGACCCTGGACCAAGCCTTCCATCCCCCTTTCTAAGGGCTAAGGCTCAGCGTGACCAGTGGTCAGGGTCCCACGTAGCCAGCAGTGGGTCAGCATAGGTCCTGGATAGTCAGGACCCTGGACCAAGCCTTCCAGCCCCTTCTAAGGGCTAAGGCTCAGCGTTACCAGTGGTCGGGGTCCCACCTAGCCAGCGGTGGGTCAGCATAGGTCCTGGATAGTCAGGACCCTGGACCAAGCCTTCCAGCTCTTTCTAAGCGCTAAGGCTCAGCGTGACCAGTGGTCGGGATCCCACCTAGCCAGCGGTGGGTCAGCATAGGTCCTGGATCGTCAGGACCCTGGACCAAGCCTTCCAGCCCCTTCTAAGGGCTAAGGCTCAGCGTGATCAGTGGTCGGGGTCCCACCTAGCCAGCGGTGGGTCAGCATAGGTCCTGGATAGTCAGGACCCAGGGTCTCAGCCTTCCAGCCACTTTCTAAGGGCTAAGGCTCAGCGTGACCGGTGGTCGGGGTCCCACCTAGCCAGCGGTGGGTCAGCATAGGTCCTGGATAGTCAGGACCCTGGACCAAGCCTTCCAGCTCTTTCTAAGCGCTAAGGCTCAGCGTGACCAGTGGTCCGGATCCCACCTAGCCAGCGGTGGGTCAGCATAGGTCCTGGATAGTCAGGACCCTGGACCAAGCCTTCCAGCCCCTTCTAAGGGCTAAGGCTCAGCGTGACCAGTGGTCGGGGTCCCACCTAGCCAGCAGTGGGTCAGCATAGGTCCTGGATAGTCAGGACCCTGGTCCCAGCCTTCCAGCTCTTTCTAAGCGCTACGGCTCAGCGTGACCAGTGGTCGGGGTCCCACCTAGCCAGCGGTGGGTCAGCATAGGTCCTGGACAGTCAGGACTCTGGGTCTCAGCCTTCCAGCCACTTTCTAAGGGCTAAGGCTCAGCGTGACCAGTGGTCGGGAACTCACCTAGCCAGCCGTGGGTCAGCATAGGTCCTGGATAGTCAGGACCCTGGACCAAGCCTTCCATCCCCCTTTCTAAGGGCTAAGGCTCAGCGTGACCAGTGGTCGGGGTCCCACCTAGCCAGCGGTGGGTCAGCATAGGTCCTGGATAGTCAGGACCCTGGACCAAGCCTTCCAGCCCCTTCTAAGGGCTAAGGCTCAGCGTGACCAGTGGTCGGGGTCCCACCTAGCCAGCGGTGGGTCTCGCTAGCCTCCCCTAGGTTCCAGCCGGAGGACGCTGAGGTTAGCGGGCGACTCATGAGTTTCAAGTTTCAAGTTTCATTTATTAGGTACAGCCCTGTGAGCCATGCGGCTCTTGTGTCGAGTGCAACCGTAACAAACAAAAATTTGAACAGAGAAATATCTTAAAGCGACGGCGCGCGACAGAAACATCCTGGGATAAACCGGCAAATATAAAACACACACACGAAAAAAAAAACCTTATTAAAACGCCGCGTGCAAAAATCCACGTGGTGCAAGCCAACAACAACAACAAACAACCATAAGACAATAAAGTGTTAAAGCTTTCGTGACTGCATAAAATTACTCATTGGTTTTTTTCGGTAAAGTCACGTATGTAGAAATACATTAAAATTATATTAAAACGTCGTGATTGCTTTTTTGTTTTAATATAATTTTAATGTATTTCTACATGCGTTACTTTACCGAAAAAAAAAAGCAATGAGTAGCCATAAGACAATTTAGATTAACCGCCAACACAAAGCTATGAAAACAATGTAACAACAGCAATCGTAGCGACTGCGATTTTAAATTTGACAATAAACGAGATGTATATATAAAACACGTGTGACAAAAACCTGTAGCCATAGCTAGCAGCACAACACTCCCGGCGTCTGATGTTTGAACGAGTCAGCAGCAGCAGCAGAGTGGTCCCGCCGAGTCCGTAGGCCACACCTCCTCAACTGCTCTAGAGGAGTTGTACAACCCCTAGCTGCCACTGCTTATTCAGTGGCCTTAAATTATGGCTCTAGATTTTGGTGTTATAATTTATTTACGTAAGTTTATTGTTAAAAAAATTCGGTCGCAGTCCCTACGATCAGTGTTACAATGCATTTATGGCTTTTATTTTTGGTGATTTCGAAAACGTTTTTTTGGGGGGGGGGGGGGTTTGGCCATGTTTTTGTTTATTGTAGTACGGAGTTAGACTGGTGGCCTTAATCTTAGTTTTCTTGTGGTTGTTGTTGTTATTTTGACTTGCATCCCACTGGGATTTTTAGCACACAGCGTTGGTGTACGGTGCTATTTCAGGAATATTTTGATGTTTTTTTCCTGGATTTTCTGTTTGCACAGTCAACACGTAGTCACTTTAAGATGTTTTTTCTTGTTCGTGTTTTAGTTTGTTGTGGTTGCACCCGATTCAAGAGCCGAATGGCCCACAGGGCTATACCAACATAAATGAAACTATGGAAACTAAACTATGGAACTATCCTTAGGCATCGGCTAATGGGACCGTATACCCCATTGTGTGTGTGTGTGTTAGGGACTGTGCAGAAGGGAATGTAATAAACAGTGCGTGCTTCTATTTAAAGCTTTCGTGACTGCAAGGATTCATCTTCTTTGGTTCTTTCGGTAAAGTCACCACCCACGTAGAATGAGAATAAAAATAATAAAATAACACGATAAAATTCTCACGACGTTTCGGCCACAAACGTCCGCTTGCTTTGTGGCCGAAACGTCGTGAGAATTTTATCGTGTTATTTTATTATTTTATTCTCATTCTCTACGTGACCTTACCGAGAGAACCAAAGGATATCACTCTAAGATGTTTTTTTCTTGTTCATGTTTTAGTTTTTTTTTGTTTGAAGCGGTCGCACCCGATTCAAGAGCCGAGTGGCTCACAGGGATATACCAACATAAATGAAACAACTATGAAATTAAACTATGCTGTGAACGAAGATGCGTAGGCGGGGGTAGGGCAAGTCACTGCCTTAGGGGCCGTCCATAAATGACGTCACGCACCTAGGGGAGGGGGGGGGGCGGGGTCAGACATTGGTGACGATTTGTGACGAGGAGGAGGTGGTGGGGGGGAGGTTTGAGAAATGTGACGTCACATCAAAATTGCGCAACTTTATAAATAAATATGGACAACACGTTCCACTTAAATTTCGACTCAAAGCTTTCGTGACTGCAAGGATTCATCTGCTTTGGTTCTTTGGGTAAAGTCACCACCCACGTAGAATGAGAATAAAAATAATAAAAATAACACGTTAAAATTCTCACGACGTTTCGGCCACAACTCAAGAGTACGGCCGCTTGCGTTTGTGACCGAAACGTCGTGAGAATTTTATCGTGTTATTTTTATTATTTTTATTCTCATTCTCTACGTGGTGGTGACTTTACCGAATGAATCGAAGAAGTGCGTGCTTCACAAAGAAGTTTATATATAAATATATATATAATATATATTATATAACACTACACCAGCGCCGTGCGTGTGTGTGCGTGTGTGTGGTTGATGCAGACGCTTGCTGATGGCCTCACAATGAGATTCCCGTTGTGGCGTTTGAACATCTTCAACGCAAACTTCAAGAGAAAGGGGGCGCCCATAAATGACGTCACGCACCTAGGGGGATTGGGGTTGGGGTGGGGGGGGGGGTGAGACATTGGTGACGATTGGTGACGAGTTGGTGGTGGGTGTTTTGAGAAATGTGACGTCACATCAGAACGCGCAACTTGAAATAAATGTAGACAACACGCTCCGCTTGATTAAATGGACTTTTTGATAAATGTTTTCTACCCGCAACATCAGAGTGCAGCGCCACATTAAGTACGCGCTCCAATGGCTAACAGTTTAAAGCGATTTGACGCGTGTTTTAATTTTTTTGTGACGTCATATTTGAGGGGGGTGGGGGTGTCTGACTTTTTGTGACTTCGTGTGACGATGGGGGGGAGGGAGGCGGTCAAAAATCGTGACGTCATTTATGGACGGCCCCAAAGGATAAACCCACCACTTGTTATGTTTGCAACAACATCTGCATGCTCATTGCCCTTGAATAAAGGTGTCAGTTTTTGTGCCAGATCAAAGGGGTAAAAACCTATTACTATATTTTGTTACTGGCAAAGGAGGTCTCATAATGTAAGCGGCTTACCCCGAGCCCTCAATACTCTGATAGTGCGCTGGTTTTGAGTTGTACGCCTTTTGGCGTCTTCCGGTCCAACACCAGTGAAGACTAAGGACTCTAAGAAAAGCCGTCTCTGGTGTGGACCAATCCAATTCAAGGACAGTGCCAATATCACTATCAGAGTTGTCTTTTTTTGTTTGCATTTTGACTGCTTGTGTTGTGGTTATTGCAAACACGATGCCTTGAATAAAGGTGTCAGTTTTTTGTGCCAGTTAAAAGGGTAAAAACTATTTCTATATGTTGTTACTGGCAAAGGAGGTCTCATAATGTAAATGCTCACCCCGAGCCCTCAATACTCTGATAGTGCGCTGGTTTTTGAGTTGTACGCCGTTTGGCGTCTTCTGGTCCAACACCAGTGGAGACTTAAGGGCTCTAAGAAAAGCCGTCTCGGGTGTGGACCAATCAAATTCAAGGACAGTGCCAATATTATTATCAGAGTTGTCTCTTTTGTTTGCATTTTGACTGCTTGTGTTGTGGTTATTGCAAACACGATGCCTTGAATAAAGGTGTCAGTTTTTTGTGCCAGTTAAAAGGCTAAAACCTATTACTATAATTCACTGTGTAACAATCAAATATATTCCAATGTCGCGTAAATTTGTTGGTGCCTTGGTTTAGGAGGTGTTATTTTCCAATTGCTTATACCTTAAAACTCCAGAAAGCGATTATTAATATCCGCAAAACTTTGCTTTTGTGAGCGGGGCAGCGAACGTTTTGAAATGTTCATTTTTTTTGTCAATTTGAAAACGTTGCGTGCATGTGGCGAATAATAGACGGTTTTTTTTAAATAAAAAAATCTATATATACTTATTAGGCATAAGCAATTGTAAAATGACGCTTACTACCCAGGAGCAAAAATCGTGTTAAGCAGTGGTTCAATTCTCACGGGCACCCCTCCTCCCGCCCCAACGTCACCCTCTCCACGGCCGCCTTTGTCTTCCCCGGGGGGGCTAACTGACCACTCGCCCACCGCACCGCCCTAGCTGATCGAGGGGGGGGGGTTAAATAAACATTTTAAAGGTCGCGACGACCGGATATGCCCCCCCCCAAACTTTTAAAACTTCCACTCTTTGTACCCTTGAGTTATTTCGGTAAAGTCACGTAGGTAGAAAATAATAATAATAATAATAGATCACGAGGGAAGTGGGGGTGAGTGTGCAGAGAAAGATAGAGAGGGAGGTGGGGGGTGGAGTTGGGGAGAGAGAGGAGAGGGTGGGGAGAGGTGGAAGAGTAAGGGGAGAGAGTGGGGTGAGAGTTGGGGAGAGAGTTAGAGAGAGATGGGGAGAGAGAAGGGGAGAGAGTGGGGTGAGAGTTGGGGAGAGAGTTAGAGAGAGATGGGGAGAGAGATGGGGAGAGAGTGGGGTGAGAGTTGGGGAGAGAGTTAGAGAGAGATGGGGAGAGAGAAGGGGAGAGAGTGGGGTGAGAGTTGGGGAGAGAGTTAGAGAGAGATGGGGAGAGAGATGGGGAGAGAGTGGGGTGAGAGTTGGGGAGAGAGTTAGAGAGAGATGGGGAGAGAGTGGGGTGGGAGAGAGTGGGGTGAGAGAGGGGAGAGGGTTAGAGAGAGATGGGGAGAGAGTGGGGTGAGAGTTGGGGAGAGAGATGGGGAGAGAGATGGGGAGAGAGTGGGGTGAGAGTTGGGGAGAGAGTTAGAGAGAGATGGGGAGAGAGTGGGGTGGGAGAGAGTGGGGTGAGAGAGGGGAGAGAGTTAGAGAGAGATGGGGAGAGAGTGGGGTGAGAGTTGGGGAGAGAGTTAGAGAGAGATGGGGAGAGAGATGGGGTGAGAGTTGGGGAGAGAGTTAGAGAGAGATGGGGAGAGAGAGGAGAGGGTGGGGAGAGATGGAAGAGCAACGGGAGAGAGTGGGGTGAGAGTTGGGGAGAGGCAGAGAGGGGAAAATTGTCACCCGCCAACACCCCCAGCAGTCTGTTAGAGGCTACACGGGGGATCTTTGTCTGTGTATAGGTGCTGCTGCTACTCGCTACTACTAACAGCACTTGCCCCTACAGTCTGTTAGAGGTTACACGGGGGATCTTTGTCTGTGTATAGGCGCTGCTACTCGCTACTACTAACAGCACTTGCCCCTGCAGTCTGTTAGAGGCTACACGGGGGATCTTTGTCTGTGTATAGGCGCTGCTACTCGCTACTACTAACAGCACTTGCCCCTGCAGTGTGTTAGAGGCTACACGGGGGATCTTTGTCTGTGTATAGGCGCTGCTACTCGCTACTACTAACAGCACTTGCCCCAACAGTCTGCTAAAGGCTACACGGGGGATCTTTGTCTGTGTATAGGTGCTGCTGCTACTCGCTACTACTAACAGCACTTGCCCCTGCAGTCTGTTAGAGGCTACACGGGGGATCTTTGTCTGTGTATAGGTGCTGCTGCTACTCGCTACTACTAACAGCACTTGCCCCTGCAGTGTGTTAGAGGTTACACGGGGGATCTTTGTCTGTGTATAGGCGCACTTGCCCCAGCAGTCTGTTAGAGGCTACACAGGGGATCTTTGTCTGTGTATAGGCGCTGTTACTCGCTACTACTAACAGCACTTGCCCCTACAGTCTGTTAGAGGCTACACAGGGGATCTTTGTCTGTGTATAGGCGCTGCTACTCGCTACTACTAACAGCACTTGCCCCTGCAGTCTGTTAGAGGCTACACGGGGGATCTTTGTCTGTGTATAGGTGCTGCTGCTACTCGCTACTACTAACAGCACTTGCCCCTGCAGTGTGTTAGAGGCTACACGGGGGATCTTTGTCTGTGTATAGGCGCTGCTACTCGCTGCAACTAACAGCACTTGCCCCAACAGTCTGCTAGAGGCTACACGGGGGATCTTTGTCTGTGTATAGGTGCTGCTGCTACTACTAACAGCACTTGCCCCTACAGTCTGTTAGAGGCTACACGGGGGATCTTTGTCTGTGTATAGGTGCTGCTGCTACTACTAACAGCACTTGCCCCAGCAGTCTGTTAGAGGCTACACGGGGGATCTTTGTCTGTGTATAGGCGCTGCTACTCGCTGCTACTAACAGCACTTGCCCCTACAGCCTGTTAGAGGCTACACGGGGGATCTTTGTCTGTGTATAGGCGCTGCTACTCGCTACTACTAACAGCACTTGCCCCAGCAGTCTGTTAGAGGCTACACGGGGGATCTTTGTCTGTGTATAGGCGCTGCTGCTACTCGCCACTACTACTACTGTAGTGGGTTCCAGGACACGGAGACGGCGGAGTAGAAGCAGCACTCTTTATTTAAACCTTAGCAAGGGTTACACTAGAAAAGGGGTAGCGGTCCCTCCACCCGTACAACTCAGGAACACACACACACCCAGGGCTCTCTAAAGCCTAAGCTCTAGGCTCCCAGTCCCTCCGGGTAGGGCTCTAAGGGAGGCCATCAGATCATCTGGCCCTGGTTAGGGCACAAATCTCGGCACACCTCGCCGACCGGACAGGCCCTTAGAAGAAGGACTCCTGGGGCGCTGGGGCCTCTGGGGCCTCTGGGGCCGCGCCACTGGCTTGCTGTACCGGCCCTGCGAAGGGCAGCGGTCACAGGAGTCCCAGGGTCTATCCCAGCTGGCCTTCTTTCTTCACCGGTTGCTTCAGCCTCGGGGCCCAACGCTCTGCCCCGAGCTCCCTGGCTCCCTCCCACACCCCACCCCCCGTGCACTTTATACCCACAGGGGGTGTGGAGCCTTAGCGGACGTTGTTGTAGCCACCAATGTGTTGGGGTGAACCACAACCTACCCGTGCCATGTGTTCACTCCCCCCCATAGCACCCCTACACTACTAACAGCACTTGCCCCAACAGTCTGTTAGAGGCTACACGGGGGATCTTTGTCTGTGTATAGGCGCTGCTACTCGCTAACAGCACTTGCCCCAACAGTCTGTTAGGGGCTAGTGGTAGCGAGTAGCAGCGCCTATACACGGACAAAGATCCCCCGTGTAGCCTCTAGCAGACTGCTGGGGCAAGTGCGCCTATACACAGACAACGATCCCCCGTGTAGCCTATAGCAGACTGCAGGGGCAAGTGCTGTTAGCGAGTAGCAGCGCCTATACACAGACAAAGATCCCCCGTGTAGCCTCTAACAGGCTGTAGGGGCAAGTGCTGTTAGTAGTAGCGAGTAGCAGCGCCTATACACAGACAAAGATCCCCCGTGTAGCCTCTAACAGGCTGTAGGGGCAAGTGCTGTTAGTAGCGAGTAGCAGCACCTATACACAGACAAAGATCCCCCGTGTAGCCTCTAACAGACTGTCGGGGCAAGTGCTGTTAGCGAGTAGCAGCGCCTATACACAGACAAAGATTCCCCGTGTAGCCTCTAACAGGGCTGTAGGGGGTGTTGGTAGGTGGACACTCTCCCCTCTCTTCCCTCTCTCCCCTCTCTCTCATCTCTCTCTACCCCCCACTCTCTTTTTTACGATCAGAGGAAACAAGATGCTCGGTGTAGTCGGCACTTTGCTC